GACAACAACAATAACAATACAAACGCTTCGAAGTCTCGTAGTAGATCGTGTCGTACAAGGCCTTATATGTAGTGTCGTAAAAGGTTCGGTTTAAACAATAATACATAATACATATGCATAGAACTTCGAATCAAGCGCAGTAACAATAAACCACACATGATTTACAATGACAGCCAGTGGATAATGAAAACAAACGACTATCATTCTATAGTATGGGCCATGAAGACATATTGGAGTTGAGCTTTGGGTGCTTCTTTTGGATAAGGAGAGATTCCGCGATTTTCCTATCTGGGTGATCTTTCGACTTATACAAAATGCGTACTTTGAGAGGTGTGCCTCCTTCGTGGGTGGAGTGACACTCCTGAAAATGATCGCCCATGGGCGTGTCGCGTGTTTTGTTGAGCGCGTCCCTCAGGTGTTCATTGAATCGTAAGCGCACCGGGCGCTTCGTCTCGCCTACGTATGTTACGGTCTCTCCATTGCTTTCACAGACAGTACATGTAATCTCATAGACTAAGTTTTTCTGTGTGCAGTCCCCAGAGAACCCCGAGCTGCATGTGTGACATCTTTGACCTCCTGGGCATATGGGCTTACACAGTGCTGATCTCACCAGTTTATCTTTTAGTTTTTGTGAATTTTTCCATGCTAACTTTACATTGAGGCCTGATTGTCTCACTTTCCTCTTGACTTCGCACAGGAGTCTTTCATCTACATAAGGAAGTGTAAGGAACCCATCACACGGTTCTTGGGTCCTGTCTCTTCTAGTTCTCGACTGAGTCTTGTTCCCCCTAGCCTCTCTGAGCAACCTGTTCAGGACATAGTTTGGGTAGCCATTCTTTAAGAGTAATTGCCTTATCTTTTCTACACTTTTCCTCTCCTTCATGTTGTTTGATGAATTCCTGATAGCCCGTTTAAATTGATTTCTAGCCACGTTGAGTTTGGTCGACTTTGGGTGTGCAGAATCGAAATGAAGAATAATGCCCGAGTTCATGGGCTTGATGTAGAGCTCTGTCTCAATTTTTGTGACCTCATCCTTTTCTTCAACCGTCACCAACGTGTCTAGAAATGGCACCCCTTTTTCTTTGTCAGAGTAGTCTAAAGTGAACTTTACCGATGGATGTAGGGAGTTGAGGTAGGTGAGGAAGTCTTTGAGCGTCTGCTCACCGTGAGTCCATACTCCAGCATAATCATCAATGTAGCGTACCAGGAACGACGGGCTGTGAGTGGCTCCTTCTAGGGCACGCCTTTCAAACTGGTCCAGGAAGAGAATGGCTATGGGAGGGGCACAAGGGTTTCCCATCGCGATCCCCAGTGTCTGACGGTAGTACTCATTGTTGAATGAAAAAACGTTCTTTGTGAGGCTTTCTTGCAGCAGTTTCCTAATGTCCTCTATCGACAGCCCAAAAGTGTCTACATCTTTTAAGTGGGTGAAAAGATGAATTAAAAGTGAAAAGCTGGCCACCCACTTAAAAGATGTAGACACTTTTGGGCTGTCGATAGAGGACATTAGGAAACTGCTGCAAGAAAGCCTCACAAAGAACGTTTTTTCATTCAACAATGAGTACTACCGTCAGACACTGGGGATCGCGATGGGAAACCCTTGTGCCCCTCCCATAGCCATTCTCTTCCTGGACCAGTTTGAAAGGCGTGCCCTAGAAGGAGCCACTCACAGCCCGTCGTTCCTGGTACGCTACATTGATGATTATGCTGGAGTATGGACTCACGGTGAGCAGACGCTCAAAGACTTCCTCACCTACCTCAACTCCCTACATCCATCGGTAAAGTTCACTTTAGACTACTCTGACAAAGAAAAAGGGGTGCCATTTCTAGACACGTTGGTGACGGTTGAAGAAAAGGATGAGGTCACAAAAATTGAGACAGAGCTCTACATCAAGCCCATGAACTCGGGCATTATTCTTCATTTCGATTCTGCACACCCAAAGTCGACCAAACTCAACGTGGCTAGAAATCAATTTAAACGGGCTATCAGGAATTCATCAAACAACATGAAGGAGAGGAAAAGTGTAGAAAAGATAAGGCAATTACTCTTAAAGAATGGCTACCCAAACTATGTCCTGAACAGGTTGCTCAGAGAGGCTAGGGGGAACAAGACTCAGTCGAGAACTAGAAGAGACAGGACCCAAGAACCGTGTGATGGGTTCCTTACACTTCCTTATGTAGATGAAAGACTCCTGTGCGAAGTCAAGAGGAAAGTGAGACAATCAGGCCTCAATGTAAAGTTAGCATGGAAAAATTCACAAAAACTAAAAGATAAACTGGTGAGATCAGCACTGTGTAAGCCCATATGCCCAGGAGGTCAAAGATGTCACACATGCAGCTCGGGGTTCTCTGGGGACTGCACACAGAAAAACTTAGTCTATGAGATTACATGTACTGTCTGTGAAAGCAATGGAGAGACCGTAACATACGTAGGCGAGACGAAGCGCCCGGTGCGCTTACGATTCAATGAACACCTGAGGGACGCGCTCAACAAAACACGCGACACGCCCATGGGCGATCATTTTCAGGAGTGTCACTCCACCCACGAAGGAGGCACACCTCTCAAAGTACGCATTTTGTATAAGTCGAAAGATCACCCAGATAGGAAAATCGCGGAATCTCTCCTTATCCAAAAGAAGCACCCAAAGCTCAACTCCAATATGTCTTCATGGCCCATACTATAGAATGATAGTCGTTTGTTTTCATTATCCACTGGCTGTCATTGTAAATCATGTGTGGTTTATTGTTACTGCGCTTGATTCGAAGTTCTATGCATATGTATTATGTATTATTGTTTAAACCGAACCTTTTACGACACTACATATAAGGCCTTGTACGACACGATCTACTACGAGACTTCGAAGCGTTTGTATTGTTATTGTTGTTGTCTTCTTTTTTTTTTAATGCGACACGATCATGATTTCGACCAAGACGAACCATATTGTATGTATTTGTGTGGGAGTGCCGGCATATTAGTTGTATGCATTTGTATGATTGTTTAAACCGAACCGCCCTTTTACGACACGATCTACTACGAGACTTTCGAAGTGTTTGTATTGTTATTTTTTGTTTTAATGTGACACGATCCACGACCAAGAAGAACCATATTGTATGTATTTGTGTGGGTGTGCTCGCATATTACTTTTAATGGTCATGTATGTGTGGATGTATATGTGGAATAGGTGGAGTTAGAACAGCTTGGGATATGATCGATTTAGTTCAGCTTTCCGATTTTAAGAAGACCACTTTGTATATCACGTGTAAGAATTTAAAAAAGTGGCTTGGCGGCAGTTATAAAACTTCGTTGTCAATTGTTTCATGTGGCTTGAGAATGAACTGTTGTTCGAAAATTTGCCAAACAATATAATATTTGCTTTTTATTACATTTTCAATTAATTATCGAGGAAAAGGTCATTTGAAATTCAAACTACATATAACTCATCCGAGATTTTTTGGGAGGAGCGACGGGAACAGACCTATAGACACCACAGTGCAAGGCTATATAAACCAGGTAGAACGCTCCCGACGAAAAAGTGGTGACAAGCGATAATTAGTAGCCGCGACCCTCTTTTGTTCAAAACTATATCCGCAAGCAGCATTTACAGGCTAGCGGAAATCGACCAATCGGCGTTCGGCAATACTCAACGCTGATTGGCCCGATGCTCGTGACGAAATTGCGGGGGACTGCAGCTATTCCCCTATGGCGTTTAATAGACTTACGGCTTTTGAAGGGGATTTATACCAGTTTTTGTTGGGTTTGAGGCCATTTTTGAGCTTGGATATTCTTTCTGTGACTTTTGACTGTGTAATAACGACATTTAATCATAACATTTCTATATACTACCGGTGTCACATCGACCAAAAAGACCGTAAGTACATGGGATAGACGGACCACTGCTGATGGGGCCACACATGCCGGCGTGTGGTCATCGGAGGCCCATGAGGGCTCGACATAGGCCCTTCATGGGTCGGTATAGGCCCGGTGGGTCCAGTGCAAGCCTATCAGGGGCCGGTGCTGACCCAACAGGGCCCAGTGACATATAATGTAAGGCCGTCTAGGGACGTTGAGGGCTCATGGGGGCCATATAGGACCAATAGGGACCACATAAGCCAATCAGGGGCCATTTAGGCCAATAAAGGCACTTCAAGGGACTTGAAAAGGTCATTCAAGAGCTGTGGTGGGCCCATGAGAGGACGGCACTGGTCCAGCAGGTGCAGTCAGGGGATGTTGTACGGGTTTCTCAGTGGCCCATTTGGGCATATCAGTGACCAATTTAGACCCAGCAGTGGGCTTTGTAGACCTATCAGGGGCTGGTGATGGTTCATCAGGGGCCAGCGTTAGTCCATCGGGGCACGGCATATGCCCATCAGAGGTAATTGCGAGCCCACGCTGAACAATGATGGCCCTTCAACGGCCCCATGGATCTACATTGACCCATGGGCCATGATGTGTCATGTATGCCCCTATGACAGGCCTACTCAGACCCCTGATGGACGTTCCCGGCCTCTGATGACCCTATGCTGAATGCTGATGGGGCTCTAAGAGTCTCCAATAACCCTTCGTCACCCCATTATTACCATACGCTGGCATTAGGGACCCCACATCAGCCGCAGGGCAGTCCGTACCATGACAGCATGTCTTTTCGGCCGATATTTCATGGGTAATATTTATCAAAATCATGATTTTATGGTGCCATTATATAGGTAACAGTCATAAGAAATATATTTCAACTCGAAAACAGCTCGAAACAGCATATAATTTTAAAGAAACCCCTCCGAAATCCAAAAGCCTATTCGGGTCCATAGAGAATAACTGCGGTCCCCCGCAATTTCGTCACGAGCGTCGGACCAATCAGCGTCGAGTACCGCCGAGCGCTGATTGGTGAATTTTCCGCTAGCGTGTAAGTACTGCTCACGGAACAAGAGTTCGTCGACAATCCTCCACAAACGTCTGTCACCATTTTTCATAATGCTAAACAGCCGGAGCGTACCCCCCTGCCACAGTGTATATAAATTATAATAGCAAGAATGTAGCTATTCTCATGGGCCACGTACTATGACGTCACTAAGACAAATCGCTAGCCATGGTTACAGATCCTATACTGCATCCTAGGCCAAATCAGTGCGCTACGTAACAATGACGTCATTGGTAAATTGAGAGATAAATTGAGAAATTTTAGGGCCGACCTTGGAGCCGGCCTTGAGGATGAATCATGCGTCGGATTTGTCCCCGCGATTTGTTCGATTGATTTGTTTTCAGAAATTGCTTGAAGAACTAATGAAATCGATTGATTATATAGGTATACACTGTGGAATTAATAATACTAATTCACTGATAAGAAATGTCTGCTATTGAGTCTTGAGCTCAGGTGAATTGTGAGAAGCTTTTGTTTAAATAAAAAGTTTGTTTTCCTTCAAGAGATTCTAATTTTGGCACAGGTAAGCGTCAGAGTAGTCATAAAGCAGGCGTCACACTTCCGTGTTGTAAGTCGTAACTTGACCGGGACTTCAATAATGATAATTCGATAACCTCTATCGAGGTCAATGACTTTGCTAACGATAACTCGATAACCAAATCGGTCACTTGATAATGAGATAGCGATAACGGTAATTTTTAAAAAGAAAGAAATCGAAAGGATAAAATATTTGAAAGGAACAAGCTTCTATTGAATATTTAACCCATTCACTCATACAACACCATTATTACCCAGCTGCTTACACAAAAAGGAGGGCTTAGAACAGTGAAAATGTTATTTTTCTCGTACAAACAAACAAAGAAACTTGCAAAGAAAGCCTGAATGTCTTTGGCGACAGAGCTTGTTGGGCCAGCAGACATTCCAAACAGCATTTTTTCAGTGCTCAGTTCTCAGTTCTGTTGAAGCCTTCTTCTTGCATCAGGTGGCAGCACTTCTTTTCTGAAATCAGTGCTTACATTTCCAAAATCGTGATTTCCTCGCTGATGAGTGCAATAGGCTTCACCGTTGCCAAAAATAGCAGAATCGTTGTCGCATGTGCCAAAAATGACAACGATTGACCAAACCTCCCCCGACTGAAGTGTCTCAGAGAGCTGAGATAGCAACACATTTAAACTTAGAGTCAGTCAGTGACATCTTTTGTAGACTACCTAACTCTCACACTTAAATCAAGGGTTGGGTTCCAATGCGCCTGAGTGACTCATACAAGGTGACCTTGATTGACTTTATTTTAAACTCTTATGTGAGAAGTTTTTGAGCCAATAACAAATTTAGCATTCATTTGAGGATCTGGAATCTACTTTAAGAGACTACATAATTTACATAGCATGTGACAGGGGGCATCATTGATGGTATGAACTAGCTGAGCTGGTATGAACTGGTTGACCTGAACTAACCAGTACCTAACCTACCCTGAATGCATACATGCATTATCAAACAGAACTAGTGTGAAAATCAGAACTAGGACCCCAAAATACCCCAGAGCAGAAAACTCGTCTGCTTCACCTCCAGAAAATCTAGCAAGTCCTAATTTTCCTGACAAATAGGTCAATGACCCAACCGAGAAGGTCAGCCAATGATCTAAGATCTCAAAATCGGTGAGCATTTGCTTCCTCTTGTCACGAACAATACGCTTGTTTTTTTTCCCCGCGGGGCTCTATCTCGATCAAGGGTTGAGCAGTTGGGAGGGGGTTCGACCGAACCGAGGTCCAACGTCCGACAGAGGTTCCTCCGCCTGTCTCCCTTATCTGCCAGCCGCAGTGAACACGCCGGATTCATTCTGTCACACTCGCACCTTTAATTCCAATGAACAGCTCTGAGCGCTCTCACAAATGTGCGGTAGTTGCGTAGTCCGTACGCGCATTTCACGTTTGTTTCATTACCTAGCAGCTAGCTCCGGGTGAGAGCCTCCAGGCATATGCGGCCTGACTCGTTATTGCACGCCTGCACGCCTGATATTTTTAATGCACGCCTGAGGAAGGCCAGCGGAGGCCTCATGCTTCTCGAGATCTTGTTGAAACCTGCTACGTTTTGTTGCAGTCTGGCTGATGAGCCTAATCAAAGGGGTGGAGGCTTGCATGTCTCGGTGTTGTGATATTTGAGTGACTGATGAGTATCCGTAAGGTAGACGTAGCACGAGCTGCCATATGCGATACCATAGGTTGTACAATGTACATAGGTTGTATAAAGTAGGCTGTAGGTTGTAGGTCAGGTTAGGTAAGGTTTGTTTAGGTTTGTTTTGGTTTTGTTTGGTTGGAAAAGCACACTCTCGCGCATATGTCAGCTCATGATACGTCTGCCTTACCGGCAGGGCTGCGGAGTCGATGGATTTTCGGCGACTCCGACTCCGACTCCGACTCCGGCTTTCAAAAACCAGCTCCGACTCCGACTCCGGGCATAATTGTTGACTCCGACCGACTCCAACTCCCGACTCCGACTCCGCAGACCAAGCAGGGCTGCGGAGTCGACAGATTTTCGGTGACTCCGACTCCGACTCCGGCTCGGGTTTCTAAAATCGACTCCGACTCCGACTCCGGACACAACTGTCGACTCCGACCGACTCCGACTCCGACTCCGACTCCGACTCCGCAGCCCTGCTTACCGGTACCTACCCAGTTATTCTCGGTTTTGTCGAAATAAATACCTACCACACAATGAGATGAGGGCTGTAGTTGCTCCAATACATTTTTAGCTTTTTACGAGCCATGCTGGTGGTCTGAGATTTCCGTGTCGTGATCTAACTTGGCTCCTGGGCCATGTAGCGACACGCGGTAAGCGGCATTCAAAAGAGTGTCAAAAATAATGAGGAAAACATTCGTGTCATTTTTAGGTCAGGTCAAAGGCCAGGTCACCAGAGGTCATCAAAGATCAAATTTTGCCTATCCCAACAATTTTCAAAAATCCAGCGCATAGCTCACGAGCCGATAAACCTATAGTGCCTCAGAAAAGCGTATTTGATAGCTCTTTTAACGCTCTTTTGCTTAAATGTCCTCAGGGCTCAGAGTGAGTCAGATTTGACCTCAGGTCTATGGTTTAACTGCCAGAGAGCAAAAACTAGAAAGTCGTTTTAACCCGCGCCCCAGTGGCAGTCTCAGCCAACTTCGCCCTAGTGTGTGTGGGGGGGGGGGGGGGGCATATGTTACCACCCACCTCTAACTCAAAAACTAACAGGGCTAGAAAGACGCGACAAAAAGCAGTCGATAGCTCTCAATGCGTACGTTTGAAAGTAGTTCGGTCATTTTTCATCTTAGAGCAATATTGGGGTCACTGGAGGTCATCAAAGGTCAAAATTTGCCAAATGTCATTATATTTTTTAGAAAACATGCGTTTTTCTCCGGAACCATGATAGCTAGAAAAACGCATGGAAAAGCAATCGATAGCTTTTGAGCTCTTCTTTTGATAAGGTCATCATCAAAATTGACCTCAGGTCAACGGTTTAGCCTCCAGAGGGCAAAAACTCCAAAAATAGCTGTTTTTACGAAAAGTGTTTTTCGACAATAACTTTTGACTTAAAAAAGCCACGACATTTCTATTGCCAGAATCGTGTTTCTCTCGCCGAGACGCGTCGAGTGAACTATAATTTGACCTTGAAAGGTCAACTTGAAAATTTGACCTCAAGTCAAGGTCATGACCTGACCGAAAAAGGTCATGTTACATATCATTCGATGCGTCTCAACAAGACAAACACAATGAGGCCATCCCCAGCGTCCTATCTCTTTCCAATCGAGAGTTATTGGCAAAAATATGTTTGTAGCCTCAAATGACCTCGGATGACCTTTCTAGAGGCTATCAGCAAAAAAGAGACGATGGTCGTCACGGGTGGTCCAAATCATTGTGATTCTGAAATATTTGGACTGTTCCTATGCGTACACACGGATCTAGAGGCATTTTCATTTTTCTCCATTGACTTAACCCGCGCGGGGCTGTGGTCCCCAGCCGAACGCGCGGGGCTGGGGGGGGGGGGGTAAATTTTACCCCCCCCCCCCCTGTTATCTCCCGAACTAACGGCCCGATTTGGAAAATTCAAACGCCAATCGAAAGCTCTCATCACGAACTACTAAAAACATGTACTTAATTTAAAGTTTGAGGTCAAGGTCAAGGTCAGGTCAAGGGTACAAATTGCAAGTTTCTACAGTATCGGCCTTGCACCGTAGTTGCCGAAGAATGGAGTCATGGACTGAGACTGATCGCCCAAAACGTGTTCTTAGGCTACCAAGACAATATTCGTTGCATACAATATCATTCAGAGGTCAAGGTCAAGGTCAGGTCAGGTCAGGTCAGGTCACCAAAAAACAAAATATAGAAAAGGGCATGTGCGACACATGTTTTATGGGTCATTTTACTCATAGAATTCAATAGGCACACTCAATAATTAATATGGACCACCTCTGGATGAATTTCAGGTCGAGGTCTGGTCAAGGTCAGGTCAAGTGAGGTCAAATTTTGAAGTTGGTTGTTAAGGCCTAAAAAGGTGTCTATCTGATGCAGTTTTTCACGGCGAATCGAATGGTGCTATTTTTGTTTCCGTACGAGGTCTAGAACTTCCAAAAAAAGTCATTTTTCAAAAAATTTGTGTGTCGTGACGTCATAAAATTTTGAATAACTCCCACATTTTTGAACCGATTCTTCTAAAATTTGGTATGTAGGTGCACATAGACCACTTCTCTGACATATATTCCGGTTTTTTCGATAGACTCAAAATTTTGGATTTTATAAATATTTTCCCAAAAAAGTCAGTTTTTTGAAAAAAATTGGGCCAAAATCCAAAATTTTCAAAAAACCGAGATAGCCATTTGATAGACAAAGTAAAATTACGTATAACCTTTTTTGTTACGTCTTGATTTCTTTAAAAAATGAAGATGTTAGCGGCGTTTGAACTTTTGCCATTTTTGAGGCGAAAATGACGAACATGACGTCACTAAAACGTCAATTTCTCAAAAAATTTCCGACGGATTTCGCTCAAATTTTCAGGGAACGTGTCAAATTGATGTAAGAAAAGGTACTGAAAGTTTGGCGGCGCTGCGCGCCGCCGTTTTTGAGATATCGCAAAAATTCGCGAGGGGGGTAAAATTTACCCCCCATCCAGCTCCGCGCGGGTTAAATAATGGTAAGGTCACGCCACTGGCCTGACCTTAGGTCACGGATATAAAAAATCCGAGATATACAAATTATAGGCGCCCATAACATCATGCAATCCACCAAGTTCGAAACCTTTCTGACAAACACTGCAGGCTGGACATGATTGCAAACTTTTTTCTAAGCTTGGTTAGTTAACTTGACCTGGTGAACTGATCTGACATGACCTGGTGTCAAAAATTTCACACATTGTCCAAAATTGATGTACAAAAAGCTACTCCAAGCGGTGCGGCGCTACGCGCCGCGGTTTTTTATTCACGCGCAAAAAACGCGACAGGGTGGTAACATAGGGGAGAGTGGGGTAATTTGGCCGGTGGTGTAAATTGGCCGCCCCCACCTGTACGAAAGCTGATAAAAGTGAATGAAATAACTTAAGTCTCTATTCATTTGTCATCGGCAGAACTAACTCGAGAACAAATGTCAAAACTTTCCCCCTCTTATTTTTATTCAAAATTAATAAAAGGTGAATTTCGTTAGAAAATGGTAACTTTTACTTCCGTTTAAAAATTTGTATAACATGTAGTATTTGGGCTGTAAACGGATTCCAACATTATAGCGCCATTTTTGAGGGTGCTCAGCGGTTCCAAGAGCAATTTCATCTAGTTTTGTACAGCCGTGACGACTTTAAAGACACAAATTTTCAGAATGGCAATGTGGGGTTATTTGGCCGGGACTAGCGGGGCAACTTGGCCGGTGCGCTCAGAGTCACTATGCTGGGACGGCCGAGTTGTCATGGTCAATTATACCATAAAGGACATAATTCATGACCAACTTTAACTACCTTGATGCCATATTTCCTATTGGACAGCTGTAAGGGCATGTGACGTCATCAAAGGTTACCTAACGCTTTTTTGCTAATAAATACTTACAGAAAAAAGATACAGCCGCGCAAATGGTCTCATTGTGTTCAGCTCGTCAAGGCGCATCGAATGATATACATGATGACCTTGGACTCACGTAACCTTGAGGTCACGCGACCTGAGGTAGCGTGACCTGAAGCCAACCTTTGACCTTGACCTCTCGAGGTCAACACATACATGTTTCGATGCGGAATGACGAGAAAATTACGATGGTACTTTTAGTTTTGGCCTAGCTTGATTACTTCAAAAGCTATTCGTAAAAAAAAACTGTCATCGCATCTAAAGCCGCTATTTTGACTATTTTCGACCCCTGTGACCGCTGAGTCAACTTCCAAAATGCTTCAAATGCGTCGTACATTAGCGTCGCCACGGGGGGCAAGCGGGGCAGCTTGCCCCCCCCCCCCCAACCTCGGACCGGGCACCCCCTGAGATCGATACAGATCCGATGAGATTTTGGAGTCGGGGAAAATGGGGGTACCTTTCTGAGAATGCCTGTGAGGTCAGACTCTGTTGGAGCGTGCAGTTCAAACCAAAGTCAGAGTCGCAGTCGCCAAAATCTTCAAGACTCCGACTCCAGACTCGGAAATGTCAATGCCATGATTCATGCCATGTTCCTAGTTGGTTCTTTATTACATTTGGTAGCTGATTTTCATAAATTTTGGAGTGCTGACACATAATTTTCGTTCAAAGCGTGACACGAAATCTTCGGGGCCTTTCTCAACTCTCGTCAAATGTCTGCGACAGGCACAAGTACCGTTCAAGTGCCGCAGGGCTCATGAGCCTGCTTTTCACACAGGCTCCTAAGGAGCTCCACTGAGCTCTAAGAAGCTTTCGGAGGGCCCAAACCGGCCTCTGAGAGTTCCACTGGTGTCCATGTTCTCTAGAGGGCCCATACAGGGATCTTTGAGGACATTATACATACGTAGACCTCTGAAGGGCCACACGAATCTTTGAGGATGCCTTCGAAAATTTCTGAAAACCTCAACTGGCCTATGATAGTTCAGCCGAACTTTTGAGGCGACAGACTTTACTAACCCCAACCCGGCATCTGAGGGGTCACAACTCACGTGTCCCTCTGAGGGCCGCAACACATGTTTCTTATGTCCCTACCAACGTAGGTTCCTTAAGGATTCGACACAGACCCCGACGGTTCACACTGTTATTCGAGGGCTCCAGGCTCACCCTGGGCCTAGTCTCTTACCGCCCGCCGCCCACACTGGCTTCTGAAAGCTCGTGTGCCCTAAAGGGCTTTCCGGGCCCACCTTAGGCTCGGAAAGCCCTAAAGCACCACATACACGTAAATATTTGGGGTGACCCACGCCAATCTCCGGGATCCTAAGCATGCTTCTGAGAGTCCACACTGACCCTGAGTGGCCTGAAATGGCCTGGAAGTCGCAATCCTATCTCTAAGGGATCCCTTGCCGCTATGCCGTGCGTAACTTTTGGTTCCGTTAAATATTTTTGGTCGCGTTTGCAGCGCTTCCCTTCACTCGAAAAACCAGAAACTTTTTGTTCACACTCGAGTGAACAAAACACTTCTTCTCACTGCAGCAAGGATGAATGGTGTACTTCCGATTCACACTTCCGACATTTTCTCTCAGTGTCCGCCGAATGCCCAATTCTTAGCTACAATCGGCGGCTGGGATAAGCCCTATGCATTTCACGTAAAACCTCGGCATGCATGCGTGAATTGAGGTTTTAGCGAGGTGATCCGATTCAAATGGAGCGTTTTTCACCTTCTTCTGGGTAATGATCATGAGCGACGAGAGTCTGCACAGGGGCCCTCTGCAGTGCGTCGGCAATCGCAGCCACTGTAATTCAAACGGTCGTTTTTGTCCAGAAATTTCAAAATTTTGATTTTTCTTTGTAAAAAAATACATGCTATAGCTAGAAGGAAAACTTTGTCACCATCGGATTTCTCGCACCATTGCGCGTCGAATGATATGTAAAACGAGTGAGTAACGGCTGGGGAAAGGCAAGATTTAACACAAAACTTGATTTTGCCCCCCCCCCCCCAACCGAAAATGTCTGGCGACGCCTATGGCGTCGTAGGACACACGTCATTGCTGAATGTGAAGCTGACTCGCCTATAACAAAAATCAGGGCCTCAAACTAACACCGGCCAAATTGCCCCACACCCCCGGCCAAATAACCCTGCTAGTGGGACAATTTGGCCGCTTTGCAGACCTTTGTAATACGTCACAATTTCAATATAAGTAGTTAATCTATCATTTCAAGTTTACTGTCCAGGAAAGTAAAATGTATGCCGCACCTGTCAGCGTTGAGAAAATGCAGAAATGTGTTGTCGATTTTTAGTTACATCGTTTTCTAAAAAAGCGGCCAAATTACCCCACTCTCCCCTATGTCCCCCTCCCCCCCCCCCCACTGGGGCGAAGGTCAAGGAAAAACGTTTTTCTGTAAAACAAAATTGACTGAAGAGTCACATTACTTTTGTCAGCATCGTATTCCCCTCGTCGAAATGCGTCTAATGAACTAAATTTTGGCCTTGAAAGGTCATTTTGAAAATTTGACCTCAGGTCAGGTCTAGGTCGTGACCTGACCGTGAAATGTCACTTTGCATATCAGTCGATCCGTATAGCCGAGCTGAAAACATCTTAGGTGGCCTCTAGCATGTCTCTATCAAAAGTTATCCAAAAAGTGGCCAATTTTACTATCAATCACACCTGTCCTCAGGCTGTCGCTGGGGTCGACCATGCCAGGCGCCGGATACATTCCGTACGCCACGCGAAAGGCGAACCGGCTGAGGACCCCTGGTTTGCCGGAGTGCGCCTATGTGGAGATGCGTCGCGAGCTGGAGCAGCACCTGCAGCGCTCGCCGCCGCAGAGCGCCCGCTTCGTGGCGGTGGTGACGGCCGAGGAGCGGCTGCGCGAGGCGCTCGTTCAGCGCGCCTCGTCCCAGCAGCTGCTCGACGTCATGGAGCGGCGCTGGCCGCACGCCGCGCAGCGCATCCACCTGGTTAAACAGATCGCCGGCGTGGTGGACCCGGGCCACGCCGGTCGACCCGGCTCGCTGCAGGCCGCCCTGAGTAGCATCGAGATGCGCTACGGCCTGGCGACGCGGGCACCGGCTCCGCCCGCCGACCCGCCCAGTCTGGTTGTCGAGCCGAGCCTGTCCACTGCGCCGTCTCTGCCGCCGCCCTGTCCGCCGCCCGGACTGCTAAACAGGGGCCAGTCCCGGGAGGAGACACTGCGCCATGTGGCCATCCGGTTCCTGGCAGCCCGCCTGACGCGTAGTAACTGGCGCTCGCTGGCGTCCGTGCTGGGGATGCCCATCGGTATTATGGATGATCTGGACCGGGCGGCCAGCTCCACAAACGACGCCGTCCGGCAGATGCTGACCAAGTACTTCGAAACGCCCAGGCTGCATTGTGGTGACCAGATCAAGACGCTGATGGGAGCGCTCCGCGAGCTTCACCTGAATATGACCGCCGATGAGCTGGCACTCGAGATGGAGTGGTGAACGATTCCGTTCGGACAGTGGCAAAACTCTTGCAGAGCTGATGATGCGCGTGGGGTATCGAGACTCATTTATAACAATAGTCACCACATATGTGCAGATGTTTTGGTGACATTACGAATGGTGGGATGTGTATTTGTGTGCACTGTTTGCTTCATGAGAGCACGGAATATATAGTCTACGACTATATAGATAATATAGGTATGCATAGTCTGTCGAAGAGTGAAGACTGTATATTCCGTGATGAGAGCAAATATTGTGTGAGTCGTGGTTAATGTATTGGGAGATGGAGAAGTGTTGGTTAAAGAGCTTGTCGGATTGTTGTAAACTTACGATGGAGTGATGTGTTCGTATACCTACGGCTTCCGCGAATGTCTTGTTGCGTCTAAAAGTCGCTTCGCTTGCCGCTACCGTGCATATAGTTACGCGATATGTATATATTTAGGTTGACTGTATCTACACTCCCTGTAGCGTTTCTGTACTTAACGCTCAAGAATTGATACTTCATTCCGTTGTTTTGTTCATAGTCAAATCAGAATCATGAGACAAATACACTGTTGTTAGTTTTCAATGCCAATGGGCCCCGGCCGCAGAGTTCAGACCGAGCGATGGTCTTCATTGGGCGCTCGTGAAAGGCGCGTGCTCTGCGAACACTGCGGCAGCACGCAGGCTGCTTCGCTCAGAGGCTGCGAGATTGTGGCCCGAGTCTCTCACCGAGGCTTCATACCCAGCACTGAACATATGGCTCCCCTGCATATCCCAGCACCGAATAGCGCAACACAATTATACAGTCGCCCAGATGAGGCGGAGCTTGGGGACAGGGCTGCGGAGTCGGAGTCGGAGTCTGAGTCGGAGTCGGTCGGAGTCAACAGTTGTGACTGGAGTCGGAGTCGGAGTCGGAGTCGATTTTAGAAACCCGAGCCGGAGTCGGAGTCGGAGTCGGAGTCACCGAAAATCTGTCGACTCCGCAGCCCTGCTAGGTCTGCGGAGTCGGAGTCGGGAGTTGGAGTCGGTCGGAGTCGACAATTCTGCCCGGAGTCGGAGTCGGAGTCGGAGCTGGTTTTTGAAAGCCGGAGTCGGAGTCGGAGTCGCCGAAAATCCATCGACTCCGCAGCCCTGCTTGGGGAAACATGCGGCGGCGGCGGCCAGTAGCGGCGGAACACATTCAATTAAGGAGGGGGGTGGGGCACTGCCGACTTTTGGTCCCATTCTTTCCATGCAATGCCCACAGGGATAATGTTAAACTGGTAAAATCAAGGGGGCGCCCGGCGCGGTGCCCCGTTGCTCCCCCCGTTCCGCCGCCTATGGCGGCGGCTATGATAAAGAATGGCTTGTTTCATATTTTTTGCCATGTTCAGCAATGTCCAATTCCTATGAGGTGAGAAGGGTCACGCATCTTTATGTTATAATTTTCTAGTGACTGTTAGCTTACGAGTGCAAACTGCAAGCCCATTGATGCGAAGTCCTTCCATGCAGTCGTTGCACTGTGATTCAAAATCAGACCTGTAGGTGTCGCTGCTGCCACCAGTTTCCCCTTTATTCACCAGCCGCCCGCGCACAGGCGGCTGTCTGGGCTGACGTCACGGTCCCAACCCGCACTTCAGTATCCCGCCGCTAGATGTCGGGCTGTGGCGGCGGGCCGCAGCGGCCCCAGAAGGTGAACTGGAATGGCCAGGGCCGTTTTCACTGGCGAGTCCGGCGGCGCGCGGCGAACAGCTGGAGGCGGCGGTAACAATCAGACGAGCCCGCCCTACCTCGACAGTCGGCTCTGTGTGACTTTTTGTGCGTGTATGCGACTCTGTGAGAAGGGCAGGTGCGCGTGCGAGTCGTCGGAGGCCCCTCGAGTGCTATGCCTGGTCTCGCCGCAGTTCTTTCCAGCTTGCTGCTGTTCTCACTAGGTGAGTTCGCCGTCGGGCCGCTGCGTCAGTGCGGGGAGGGGGAGGGAGGCCTGCCCGGTCGGTGCCGGACAGGCAGGCGCCGATGACCCCTGCATGGTCACCTCCCGGCGTATCAGACGGATGTGTCGAGAAAGCATTTCCCAGTGACAGGGGATGTGAGGTGGCCCGTTCCGTGACCTTGGGGCCTGTCCGGTGAGCTCGCCCCACTCTATATCAATATGGGTCAGTCGCCACCGGTGGCTGGCGCCGACTCCGCGTCTTCCCGCAGCGTGTCGCCCGTGATATCTGGAGCGACCGCCGAACGAAAGTGCCGCCGGGTAGCTCGGCACGCTCTCACTGAGACACTCCATGACCGTGTGATGAGTTACCGGGAGCATAGGCGTATAAGTGGGTGGGCACTTGCCCACCTGGCCCCCCCTGTTCCTATAGGAACAGGGGGGGCCAGGTGGGCAAGTGCCCACCCACTTTTCGAGGTGGGGGGGGGGGGCCAACCAGGTGTTTTGGCCCACCCACTTTTTACGCGAGGCCCCTCGTCTCGATTTGAGAGGACGTCGTCGCCTTGCAGAATAAACAAACTCGGTAAAAATAAGTTCCACGAATCCCCACGCACGGACTCCAAGGGGCCGTGATGGATCCAAGGACTGGCCCTCTGTTCATACTTGTCAGTCGAAGCCCCTGAGAATGATGGCCTGAGAGGCCCTAGTGGATCTGAGGAGGCCCCAATATCCACACTGGTCTGGGGAGGCCCCTGACACTGGCGGCCTGGGAGGCCCCTCTATCCACACTATAGTCAGAGGTCTGAGACTGGTGGTCTGGGAGGCCCCTCCATCCACACTAGTCAGAATAAGCCCCTGACACTGGCGGTCTAGCCGAGGCCCCCTACCCTCACTAGTCAGAGGAGGCCCCTCTATCCTCAATAGTCAGAAGAGGCCCCTGAAACTGATGGTCTGGGAGGCCTATCCATCTACACTGTAGTCAGAGGAGGCCCCTGAGACTGATGACCTGAGAGGCCCTTATCATCACACCAGGCAGAAGATGCCCATGAGACTGATGGACTGAGAGGCCCTTCTATTCATACTGGCCACAGGAGACCCCCAAAACTTTCGGTCTGGGAGGTTCCTCAATCCGGCACCAGTCTTCTGAGTCCCCTGAGACTGGGAGGCCCCTGCGACTGATGGTATGAGAGGCCCTCATATTCACACCAGTCAGAAGAGGCCCCCGAGGCTGATGGCTGTGAGGCCCTTCTGTTCATATAACTGGCCACTGGAGGCCCCTGAAACCGGTGGTCTGGGAGGGCCCTCTATACACACTAGTCACTAGTCAGAAGAGGCCCCTGAGACCGATGATCTGAGAGGCTCTTATATTCATACTGGCCACAAGAGGCCCTTGAGACTGATAGCCAGAGGTCCACTCCTAATGAATCAGAGGGGGGGGGGGGGCCTCTATCCACATTTACACTTTTCTAGGGAGGCCCCTGAGACCGATGGTCTGAGAGGCTCTTATATTCATACTGGCCACAACCCAGCCAGCCTTCTCAAGTGGGGCCCACATGGGCCCCAAGTGGGCTCCAAACTGGGACCCATCTGGGCTGCCCACCTTGGACCCAGATGGGAATGTCATGGGCGTCCAACTGGGTCCCATCTGGGCACCCCAGACGGGGCCCATGTGGGACCCATCTGGGGCCCGTATTGAGCCCGCATATGGGCTTTCCCAGTTGGGACCCACATGGGCAGCCCAAGTGGGGCCCATATGGGACCCAGCTGGGATATATGCATATATATGGGTCCCACACGGGCTTTCCCAGTTGGGACTCAGACGGACACATGCAAAAAGCGCACATGGAATTTAATTGGGATTTGGTACCTAGCTTATGTCGTCCAATATTTCCGCGTGAATCCCAAAAAGCAATGTGTTCACACGTGGGAGAACCGCGTACCCTTTGCCTCTCACTAGATCCCCAGAGATTCGAACTTAAGACCTATGGAACATGATGCGGGGACCCTAACCACTACACTACGCTACCACTGCAGGAAGGCGGCAGGCGGCTGGTAGAGAACGGAAGCGTGGATGCGTACCTATTGTGAAAAGGGGGAAGAGTTTGTAACGATAGTGATAGAGGCCCGAGCGGTCCGTCAGCGCCGTATTGCGTCTATTTATAGTCACCAACTGCCGGCGGGGCGGCCGCGCCACCACACAACGAACGCCGGCGACACAGTATCAGCGACCTCGCAGGGACACGGGCAGGGGTGTGCCCAGGCGGCTGTCAGATCAGGAGTCTGGCAGTGTAGCGGCACAGTGGAGGCGCTGGCCAAGTCCAGCACGTAAAGTTAGCACATCTAGCCCATCTGGGACCCAGTTGGACGCCCATGACATACCCAGATGTAGCCCAGCCCACATTCGCCCAGATGCCCCACTTCCAGCCCATGTGGGCCCCATTTGGGATGGCTGGCTGGGAAGAGGCCCCTGAGACTGATAGTCAGAGAGGTCCACTCCTAATGAATCTGAGGGGGGCCTCTATCCACATTTACACTTTTCTAGGGAGGCCCCCGAGACTGATGGTCTGAGAGGCCCTTTTATTTATACTGTCCACAGGAGCCCCTGAGATTAATGGTCTGAGAGGCTTTTCTATTTATACTAACTAGAGGAGGCCCCTAGGATTGATGGTCTAACAGGCCCTTCTATTTATACTAGCCAGAGGAGGCCCATGAGACTGATGGTCTCTGAGAGGCCCTTCTATTCAAACTAGGCAGATGAGGCCCCTGAGAATGATAGTCCGAAGAACCATGCGCGGCAACTGGCCGTGGCCATATTTCGGCTCGGTAGGGCCCCACAGAGCTCATGAGAGCACCTCAAGGGCTCCTAAGTAGACACGCTTATCCCCATAAGGGTGCCACACCGGCTTCTGAAGGCTCCTTGTAGGCATCTAAGGGCCCTTTCCGGCCTCTAACGGCTCCATCCGCCTGTGATGGCTCCACACCAGTGTTTATGAGCGCCACACAGCGGCGCCTTTGAGGGTCATACTAGTGTCTCTTAGGGCCCTATATCGGTGGCTCTGGGGACCCCACCCGGCGCCTCTGTGGGCCACCACACCTGTGCATCTCAAGGCTCTATAGGTACATCTGAAGGACCCACACCGACACCTCTGAGGGCCCCACACCAGTATCTCGGAGCTCTGAAGGCCCCACACCGGTGACTCTGAGGACTCACCGGCTCCTGAGAGCACCATGTTGATGTCTAACGGCTCCACAAGGCCACTGAAGGCACCACACAAGCTCTCACTGAGCTCTAATGTCCATGTACCGGCCTCTGAGGGATTTAAGCCAGCGCATTCATAGCTCTACACCAGTAATTGTAAGGGCTTCACACTGAAGTATCTGAGGGTTCCACACCGGTGTCTCTAAGGGCCACATACCGGCATCTCTGAGGGCCCCATACCGGCGTCTCCAAGGGTCCACATCCGGCGGGCACCCATCAGCGACTGAAGGTCCCACACTGTCGACTCCGAGAGCCCCATCTGCGTCTGGGAGCACCATGCCGTCTTTAAGAACCACAGCGGCTCCTCCGTACGAAAGATGGGCGTCTGCATGCCAAAGGGGAGCGGTTCTGAGACAGTAAGGCACCTACGTGCAATAGAGGGGCGCCTATGAAGCCCATAGGGGCGCCTCAATGCGAAAGAGGGGCGCCTCTGAGGCCTACATATATGGGCGTCCACATGCAATAGAGGTCTGCAGACTGCAATTGATCAATGCCATGGGGGTGCATTCATAAGAAACAGGGGCGCCGGCATGGAAAAGAGAGGCGCCTTCAAGTGTCCATAAAAGAGAGACGCCTATGATAAGCGCACATTTTATGCGACAACGGGGAGACTGTGGCACATATAGGGTTGTCTCTGATGACTATACATAGGGCGCTTATATGCCAAAGAGGGCGCCTATGAAGCTAATGGGGGCACTTGGGAAACGAGGAAGACATTTGTGTAAGGGTTTTCAGGGGTCATGCGCCGTTTGCGGCAAATAGATTCTAAAAAAAAAATCGGAGGGGGAATAAGTTTTAAAAAATGGTGCGGACTTTCCGCACTGTTCGCTTAAGCGGTTACGCCACTGGGTACATCTGCCCGATCTGAGAAGCTAGATTTGGATGTCATACTTGAAAGCAGCCAGCAGGACGAGGCAAAAGTTGGAGGCCCCTGAAAATAGGAGGCCCCTGGAAAAGGAGGCCCCTTGACAGGGTGGCCCACCCACTTTTCATGACGTTCCTACGCCCGTGACCGGGAGCACAAGATTACTTTACTTATACCGGGAGCAAGGCCCTAAAACATAGACCGGGAACATTTCACTCAAACGTTCATTACACCTACACAGCTCAAAATTTATTGACATGTGTTTTAATTAACCCGCGCCCTGCTGGGGGGGGGGGTGTTTGAACACCCCCCCCCCCTTGTGGTTTTTCGCAAATATCTCAAAAACGGCGGCGCGGAGCGCCGCCGTTTTTGGTACACCTTATCATACATCAATTCTACACATGTTGTGAAAATTTCAGACCAAGGTCATTCAAGGTCAGGTCACCAGGTCACTTGAAGTGACCTCACCTCATAAAAACTTTCAATGTCTGTCATAGCTACACCGAGTGACCGATCGCTTTGAAACTTTCAGCGATTGCTAAGAGCAATAGCATGTACAAAATGTATATCTCAGAATTTTGATATCGATGACCTAAGGTCAGGTCAATTTTGCGACCTCCCCATTATAAGTCAATGGGAGAAAATTGAAATGCGCCTCTTTTGGATGAAAGACATTATAAACACTCCTAAACACCGAATTACAAGTGGTTTAGACACACTGAACTTGAAAATGGTGTCCGTGACCCTTGTTTATGCCCTGAGGTCATCTTAGGTCACGAATGGTATCTAACAGTTTTTCGCAAATAACTTTTGATAGAGGCATGCTAGAGCGATGAAAACGCCTTAGATGTGTTCAGCTCGACGATACGGATCGACTGAT